AGTAGTGGTGTAGTAGTAGTAGTAATAGTAGGAGTAGTAGTAGTAGTAGTAGTAGTAGTAGTAGTAGTAGTAGTAGTAGTACCTACTACTATACTACTACTGCTACCACTACGACTACTCCTGCTTCTTCTACTACTACTACTACTGCTGCTACTGCTACTGCCAGTCCTACTTCTGATATTGCTGGTATATACAAGTAGTGTTACCATTCTACCAGTGATACTCCTGCTGCAACGGCAATTCCGACTAGGGCCGGACCAGAACATCAGAATCAGTCTTCTGATTTCGCCGATGTCATGGCGGATCTAAGCGCCATGGAGCCGCAGCCCCGCCGATTGCAGGACTCTGCCCCTGCGCGCCCTGGAACGCGGCACGCATGGCCCCCAACGGCTTTGAGGCCGAGCAAGAAGCGTCTCGACGAGGTTTGCTACGCCAGCTGTGACCTACGAAGTGACTCCTGTCATGTCCCCCTTCAGAGCAGAGGCAGAGCCCGACTGCTTTCAGACGTCTGGTGGAGTATCTCCGGCAGATGTGGTCGCAGCTCTGGCTCTGATTTGATGGCAAGGGGATTCCTGGAGAGGAGCCCCCCCCCTCCCCCACAGCTGAGGAATGGGATCCTCATCCAAGCGGTGGGAATCCCATTGAGACACCTCTTGGCTTTCTATGGCCTTCGGCTCTGCCTCGGCGGACAGGTGCACCAAGAGGAAGAGTTAGATACCTATACTTCCCTCGTGTGTGGCTCTACACTTCTTGTTTTCAGCGTCCTTTTTTGTCTTTTTGCGAGGTGCCTTGGCGCACAGGCCTTTTTGCTGTGGCTCTGTGGCCCATTAGCGGCTTCGGCGTCACGGCCGGCGCACACCGACTGTGGCCTGCCCAGATTAGTCCACCTAGAGCCCTCTGCCTTCGAGCTTTGAGAGTTCCTAGCCTGAGGTGGACCCATCAGTCCTATGTGGCATCCCCCACAATGGAGGCTTTTCAAAGCAGCATTTGTTCTTCAGCTTTCTTTCTTGCTTCAATCAGGCGATGCTGATGCTCATGTTTTCCATGGCGGACCAGGGACCCATCCAGGGCTGGGCCTTGACGCAACCTGGGCTGCACAAGGCAGCTTCAAGCTCAAGCCCGCATTGTCCGCGCGCTGACCCTAAGCAAGCCTAAAAGGGGTGACTCTCCCCTGAAAGAAAGGCATGCGATGCACCACGTTGCCAGCGACACGCGCTGGGATCCGCACAACCGCACGGCGGGCTTCTGGCGCCTCGTCCAAATGACCAAACCGAGGCTCTTCCAGGCTCTTCATCGGCTTTTTGGGGACAGTTCCTGAAGGTTCAAGAGCGAAGTGACGACCTAAGTCTAGGAGCTGCGGAAATAATATTCTGCATCAAAGAATGCAAAACAAATGGGTTTTGCATTTGCAAGCCTGCTCAAAAAATTGGTTTCAGGTGTCGGGAAATGGGTCCGGACATGGGTCCCGGGTCCAGAAATGGGTCCGAAAACGGGGTGAAGAAACTTGGCCCCAAAATGGGTCCGACATCCTGCGATCCTTTTCCGGACCCATTTTTTTTTGCATGTTGCCAGTGCTTTTGCACAACGTGGCCTCCCGGAGCCGTTTTTGGACCCATTTCTGGATCCATTTTCGGATCATTTTCTGACCCATTCTGCCTGCTATCGTGGATCCATTGTTCCTGTGACCGGTTCGTTGCCGGACCCATTGCTTTCCCATTTTGGAACCCATTTTTTCGCATATGTTCCGGAATAACTTTAACGCTACGCCGCCCGCCTCGGCTGCTGAGGGGCAGAGGGCACGGGACACACGTAGGTAGCGTTGGTGCATGTCCGCAGCAGAAGCCCAGAGCTTGTGGGAGGAAGACAGGAGTTTCTACTGCACCAACAGCCTCTTCAAATGTTACCTGCCTGTTACCTGGGC